TATAAAAGAATTTTAGATGATAGACGTAGATCACTTTCAGAAAATTCTATTGAAATGTTAAATTTTTTATATTATAAAATAATAAAGTATATTTTTTACTATATAAAAAATTTTATTTGCATATTTTGCATTTTTGGTAATATTAAAATGAACATTTTTTATTTTTACATTGCACGAAACCGTGGGCTCTAGGGAGTTTCCTTGTTATGATTAGGGAGAGCCGAGTTATGTAATTGACTATTTCTAAAAGATTAAAATTACTCATTTTTATATTTTATTTCAAAAATAAATTATGGATTTTTTAAACATGTAAAAAAATTTAAAAACGAAGATTTATTTTTTACAAACAATAAATAGCTAATTATTTATTAAAAATATCTTTACTGTAATAGAGGTTTTTTCGTTTCGAAACAATTACAAACAATAACTGAAATTGGCGCGGTACAAATTAACGGGTTAGCTAATAACTGACGAAGTTGATCAGATCTACAGTCGGCTGACTAAATCAACTAGTCAACCGATAATGACTGACTCAGATCGACTTCAAACACTAGTTGATAATTGGCTGTGAAATTATGTAACTCGATCAAGCAATCCGAACAACAAAAAGGTGGATCACATAACAAAAACAAATGGTTGATTGGAATTTTTTGCGATCAGAAATCCCCAACTCAATTCTGATTTTGATCACGTTTGGATTGGTTAACGGATTTTTGCGATCAAAAACCCGAAACGATCAGAAATGAACAGGCCTATTGAAACTAAAAATTTTTTTCATTTACGTCATGTTTGTTATTTGGTCAACTCGAATTTGATGATAATAGAAAATTTATTAACGTTAAATGCAAATTCTCAACTAATTGGATTTAACAAGTATCATCTCCTAATATCTTTAATTCTTCAACAATTCTCTCAATAATTTCGGAATAATCAGATTCTGTATTATTGCCAAGAACTTGACAAAGAACTTTAGACTTTTTTATACCAATCCATTCCTTTATCCGAACAAACAAAAACATCTCGTCCTTGAATTGAAAAAAAGTTATTTTCAAATAAAATAATTTTTTTTTTTTTTTTAGAGGAATTGTATTCAATGATTTTTCTTACCTTCCAATTAATTTCAAATATCATCGTTTCGGATAATCCACTACTTGGATGTACATTCCATAACTGACGTAAAAGATATGGAGACAATTCCACCATTACATGATTATATTTGTCGATATCTGTTGAGCTTTGAAAGCGTAAATGTTTTTCACACTTCCTTGATAAAAGAAAGCATTCCTTAGTAACTTGTGTATAATATAAAATCCTTTTTGTTAACTAACCTGATCAATAAGATATAGACCAAAAGAGTGTTCCTTTTGTAACAGTTTTCCAGTTCCGGGACTTGAAAATTTTACGATAATTTTTGCACTATACTTTAAGATAATAGTTATTTAACATCAAATTTCCTTGAAATTAGGAAAAGTTTTACTGAAATTACTTACTTGACTGAATTCGAGTGGTGCCAATCTCAACTTTTCAATGATTTGTGTTTGTGGCGGTAATGTAAAGTTTTTCGACGTAGAATGTGCTGATGAAGTTGGTGAAACGTTACAGGTTTCTGGTACAAATATTGAAGAGATTGGTGTTTTTCTATTTTTGGAAAAATAAACACGTCATTTAAAAAAATTTCTCATTCATGAATCTCCTTCATTAATGATCATACATGGAATCAGATTTCGTTATTTCACATTTTATAGATTCGTCGCAATTCAGTTCTACGTTTGCATGCTTTTTTTTTTTTTAAAAAAAAAAAAAAATAACTCTTTAATTAGATCCAAAAGGTGGTTGTGTTATTATCAATTATATTTGAAATCTTATTTGTACCTCTTGATAACCTTTCTTTCCAAAGGTTAAATCACATGACACGTTTGGTATAGGAAATTGACCGGAATTAGTTATTGTGATAGTTAATAAGCTAGGAGTAAACTTCTCTACTCGCGCTTCTAATTCGTGAATTGGTGATATATTGGAAGCTTAAAGAAAAATAAAGAAAGACTTAGCCCAATGCGAATTAAAAAAATTCTCATAATTAGAATAAAGATACCAACTAATTCGAAGGTTTGATAGTAAAAATTGCTCCATCACTGAATTCATGGTCTGGGTCATTTCAAGAGATTGTTTCAAATTCGAAGCCAATGTCTTTTTATTAAAATAATATTTATGTCATCAATTATTCATCATAAAATCAATAAACAAAAATTAATAAGGCAAAGACTTACGGCGTAGACAGTGCTGAAAGAATTTTGCACTCCTTGGATACTGCTTTGTAACAATGTGGCCATCGAATTCCTTTTAATTTAAGAAGGAACATTTTTTTTTTTCTTAATAAAAAAGAATTAGGAAAAGCGAGTCAATCATACACTTACATCTCATTGCTTTTACAATCCTCGACAACATTATTGCTAGAAGGTTGTTCTTTGATAGCCTGAACAATGTTTGTTTCTGAGGTCATCGTTTTCTTTTTTTTTTTTGATCGAGACGCGAAACGACACGAAAAACTTATGTCACGGAGAGTTTTTTTAAATGATAATCTATAGATCTGATCGTCTTACGAAGGATTATTCCGTAATTTGCCGTAGATCAAAAAAAAAGTTTATTTATTATTTTTGTTGAATCATAATTATACGATTAAGTCATAATTGCTGACACTTAGCATGCTATATACTAAACTTGCGTACTTTTAAGTCGCATTCTATGAGTTTTCTTTTTCGAAAATTACGAGCCAATGTCTAATAAATTACAATGAATTTGGTATGTTCTTTTTAAATGATCCAATTTATTGAAAAAAGTTTTAACAAAGAAAAAGTTTTGACAAACTATTTGGTAAAATCATTTTAATATTTAATGGATTTTAATTTACAGGACGCAGTTGTAAAAGTTGAACCCAATGAATCATCATCATCATCATCATATTCTTCTCCACAGGACTCAAGTTTGGTTGGACCATCATGTTCAATAACTTCGCCCACCATTAAAACAAAGACTGTTTCTACCTCAGGACAAGCCAAAATTCCAACAAAGAGTCCATCATCTTCACGTAAAAGATCATTTAATAATAATTCAGTTGTTAAAGATCCACAAACAATTGCTGAAGAGTTGGCAAGAAAACGTGCAAGAAATACTGATGCAGCAAGAAGAAGTCGACAACGTAAAAGTATGAGAATGGATAGTCTTGAAAAACAAGTTGTTGAATTAACTATTGAAAATAATGAATTAAAAACTCGTCTAACTGTATTGGAAGTCGAAAAGAAAAGTTTGAAAGAAAAAAATTTAGATAAAGATAATAGAATTAAATTATTAGAATGTCAATTGGCAGAAGCTCATCAAAGAATTTTAAACGGGTCATGAAATTTCGTTTTTTTTTTTTTTTTTTTTTTTTTTTCTCTTTTAAGTTAAATCAATTTAAAATAACATTTTCTGAAATTTTTGATTTAAATAACACATCGAATCCTCCCTTAATCCTCCCTTAATAACCGTGAAAATAATTATTTAAACAAAAAAATATTCGAATAAAAACTGATCACCTTTATTTTTGATTGGATGATGAATTCTAATCTATTTAAGAAATTCATACAAATAGCTTCATTTAATCGACAAAACTTCAAAAAAAAAGTTTCAAGTCTTTAAAACTAATTTCTTAACGCAAGAATTTGTCAACCGCAAGATTATTTTTCAACAAAGAAAAAAAAAAACTTAAGGATTTCATCTGTTAAGAATATTAAACGCAATAGCATTCTCACCCTTGGCTGTTAAAGGCACAAAATCAAGCGATTAAAACGAGACCAAAAAAAAGGAAAGTTTCTTCAGATATATAAATTATACACCGAGACGTGCTATTACATTGGTTATGTCATTCAAAAGAATTTAAATGAGGAAATTATCTAAAGGAATGTTAACGAAAAAGGATGATCTGCATTTCCTTTCATTGAATATGATGTGTACGTTTTTCGGTAACATAAAAACATTTGCATAAGTATTTTACGAAATGATCGATTTTGTATTTTCTTTCTATCAACAAAATTTTATCAGTAAAGAATAAGAAATATACCGGAAATATACCGGTATATTAGTTTGATTCCTTTAAAAGAGAAAAAAAAAAAACTTTATTATGCTATCTACTTTTCAGAATCTATTGGTTGCATAATTTTTAGTTTAAATTAATAAATAAATAATTTAATGATCTATACATCCAAATCGTGATGCCGAAATGTAAATTTTTTTTTTTTTTTGTTGGAATTAGTATTTTCGCTATTTTCGCTATTCATTATTAAAGGTTCAAATTCTTGACTTTCTCCCATGGGAACTATTAATTAAAAGAAATTTTCAATTTAGCAAATTTAACAAATTTATATTTAGAAGAGATCAAATAAAATAAGTAGAATAATTTACCTCTTCTCGACCAAAATGACCATAAGCGGCAGTTTGTTCGTAGCTCCAACCGTCTGGTTTATGGAGTCCAAGTTGTTTTACAATTTCACCTGGCCTCAGATCGAAGTTATTCTTGATAATATCCAAAATTTCCGAGTTTGTCTTGGTTGATGTACCATAGGTATCAACATAAATAGAGAGAGGTTCAGGAACTCCAATAGCGTAAGAAAGCTGAACCAATATACGACGTGCCAATTTAGCTGCGACGAGAGATTTAGCAATCCAGCGAGCTGAATAAATCCAACAATCATATTAATAATAATTTCACCAATTAATAATTATAATGAAAAAAAAAAAAAAATAATAAAATATTTTACCGGTATATGCAGCAGAACGATCGACTTTAGACCAATCTTTGCCAGAGAAAGCACCACCACCGTGAGCACCATGACCACCGTACTGAATTATTATTTTTGTTAATACAAGGATACGCGAAAATAAATCCCGACTTAATAGCAATTCTTACCGTATCAACAATAATCTTACGTCCTGTTAAACCAGCATCACCTTGTGGTCCACCGATAATAAATTTGCCAGAAGGTTGTAAATGATAAACAATGTCATCATTGAGAAATTGTGCTGGTATAACATCACTAATGACATATTTCTTTAAATCAGCTTGTTGTTGTGAAACAGTGATTTCGGGAGTATGTTGTGTTGAAATTACGATTGTATCCACGCCAAGAGGAACTAAAGCACCATTTTCTTTCTTATAGCGTATAGTAACTTGGGTCTTGGAATCTGGTCGAAGCCTAATGTTTATAATTATAATGATTATAATGATTTACACAAAGGAAATGAATTCCTGATGGTAATGAGATATCCATTTAAGTATGACAAACTTACCAGTTAAGAGTTCCATCTCTGCGGAGATCGGCCATTTTCTTGTTTAACTTGTGAGCTAATACCAGGGAAAGTGGCATTAACTCGGGGGTTTCGTCAGTAGCATATCCGAACATTATACCTAATGAATTATTATAAGTGACATACACCAAGGATTAATCTTATTGATCTATTTATTAATAATAATTAATAACTTTGATTTGTACCTTGATCACCAGCACCAATGTTTTCAAGCTCTTGACCTTTCTGTACAAGACCTTGAGCGATATCTGGTGATTGTTGTTCGATAGCTATAAGCACATTACAAGTCTTATAATCAAACCCTTTAGATGAATCATCATAACCAATACGTTGAATGGCATCTGATACTTGGTCAGCAATTTTATCTATCAAGGAAATGAACAACAGTTATAAATATGATTAATCAGAAATAGACCCCATTTTTTTAATAAAATACCTACCAGGGTGACCTTCACCAACGGACTCTGAAGTAAAAAGAAAAATTTCTTCGTTAGACATTACGTTTCGTTATTAATGTATTAAATATAAAATAATTTTTTTTTTTTTTTCATTATAATTATTAATTGGTGAAATTATTATTA